GAGTGATGATGGATGGATGGAGGGAGGGAGGGAAGGGAGGAGGAGTGATTGGATGGATGGATGGATGGATGGATGGATGGATGGATGGATGGATGGATGGTTGGATGGATGGAAGGGTGGCAGAGGGAGGGAGGGATGGGTGGATGAGTGGATAAAAGAATGGGTGGAAAAGTGATGAACAGGCAGCTATGGGAAGCCTTCAAAAGAATGGAAGCTGTTCCATCTGGGAAGAAGAAGGCACACAGGGATATAACTAACAGTCCAGAGTATCTGCAGGGCTCTGGGGTTAAAGCCCTGTCCATGTAGCCACGCCCAAAGACAAGAGGATCCAGCAGAAAAGGAAGTGGGACCCCTCCCTCACATTTGCAAGGATGATTATCTTCACATATGTCAATGGGGTGGACACGCATATAAAGAAGGCAGGAAGTGTTGGCAAGGAAGTGGGGCGACAGGAACCTTCACATATCACCAGTGGGCTGCTAGGCGTAGCAGTGTGGGGGTTCTCCCCAACTGTGACCCAGCATTCTGCTTCGGGAGGCCTCCCCAACAGCTAGGGTGCCAGGGAACCGGAGCCGGATCTCATCAGTGTCTGGGAGTGCTCGCACACGCTCTGACACACAGTCCTGCTCCCGACGGGGCAGCTGAGTGGCTGGGGCACAGGGTGACAGACCCATGCGCACAGTTCCCGTGCCTCCAGAGGATTCTGCCAAGGCGTAGGCACCGTCACCCTGGGCAGACAGCGGCACCTGGGCGTGGCAAGCTGCTGTTGTGATGACGATGCTAATCGCCCACCCCACACAAACACTGCAGTTAAGCTCTTCACATAATGGGGAGCTGTGTGAGCCGGGTCGACTAGAGAACCAAACCCAGAGGCACTCGTGTAGGTAAGAGAGAGCTTTCTATCAAGAAGTCATTGTATATGGAGAAAACATCCCAGCCCAGGCCAGATCGAGTCCTTAAGTCCAATACTAGTCCACAAGTCCCTCTTCAGACTCACACAGCCACAGCAGTGATGCAGAAAGCAGGAAGATCACAGGCCAGTGGGTGCAGCGTCCTGCAGATCCAATGGTGGTGGACGCATCACAGGGGGCTGGGGCCCTCTCTCCACACACCTCCACAGAGGGTGGCCCTCGCAACACAGTGGACACCATGTTTGGAGCCCTCGTGCTCCTGCCCACAGGCTCGGTGCTCAAATCTGGTGTCCATGGCTGCTTCCTGGGGAGGACACCATGTGACACTTCCGTTCTGAGTGTCCCGCTGACGCCAGGTTCCCGAGCAGGCAGGGTCCTGCCGAGACCCACTCTTCCTGACCTGGAGAATAGGCTTTCTGGGCTCCTGATTATCTCAAAAAGAAAACTGATCGTAAATCAATCCATTACATTGATTTACTCCCTTGATCTAATTAAGTCTAACTAATTCCTCAAAGGATAAGCAGGTCTTTAAATCACTGTGTGAAATGCTCTTCCTTGGAGATGTATACACCACCCCAGCTCCCAAGCCCTGGGAAGGGCCGCCCACGCATGTTCCCCTGGGACCAGAGCCCAGGTGCAGGGGAGCAGAGTGTGGGGGTGGTCTGGAGGGAGGGGCTGAGCCACAGCTGCTGGTGCTGTGGCACAGCCCAC